GGCGGTTGCAGAGGGATGTCATTCCCCAGGCCCCCCTCTCTCCCCCCCACCCCGCTGCAGTCCAAGCGTGGGGACCCAGCTGCCTCGGGGACAACAGAGACAACAATTCCCCTAAATCTTTGAAATTCAGATCAGGACCAGGCACATCACCAACATCTTTCCAAGGGAGAGAAAGAAGCAAACGTGACACCATCTGGCACCCTCCGTGCCTCAGTTTCCACACAGTGACTCCAGTCCCTGCAGACATCCCACACGCAGCAGCGCATCACTTCAAAACAATATGACTTGCATCTCTCCCATCCCAAATTTCTTCCTGGTCCCAATGCTTTTGTTTACTTTCCTTAGTTCATCCCTCTCCCCGTGCACGTGGATGCAGGTCTCTGAACGCCGCAGTCACCACCTGCACTTTAACACCTGTCTTTACTTGCTCTTCGGTGCCAGATTTTTTCCCTCTCCCAAAGCCTCCAGCTCCTTTTCCACTGGTTCTTAATTTCCCTGCCACTTCCAAGCTGGCCTCAGAGGGACCCCAGAAGCTTTCGGGCTATTTCCCGTCACCCTTCGTTAGCTAGCGTGCCGCAAACAAAGGCTACCGAATTAGTCACCCGCCTCTGCCGCGGAGCAGCTGCTCGGTGTCAGACCAAAGGTCTGCCCGGCACCGGGCGGCTTCTCCCTCCTTCCCCATGCCCAGGGATGAGGGACCTTTCCCAGACAAAACAACTTCTTTTCCCCTTCCATTGCATGATCCCTTTTAAAAAGCAAAAGAAAGGAGGAGGCAGTACCATCGAGCTGCCCGGAGGAGATAACTTTTCCTCCCTTTGTGCTTCCTTCTGCTTTTCTCTGAGCTTCTCTGTTTACCAGGCTCATAAAGCCGGCTCGGTGCCACCGGCTCTGGGCTGCACCTTTTCCCCGGAGCCCAGCCCATCCCAAACACGCAAAGCTTGTCCGGAAACCTCCTGCCAGCTTTGCCCGCTCAAAGTCACCTTGCCCCAAACCTTCAGCTCCACATCCCGGGCTCGCTCGGCAATCATTAATCAGCTTCTCTGGCATTCCCGGCACGGAAAAATGCCCCAGCGGGTCACCCTGCCTTGGCAATCCGACATGCAGCTGGCCGGCAAGCTGGTCCTCTCCGCCGCCGCTCTGCTCCTCCTGACTTTGGCGTACAGGTTTTATAAGTCCCGCTCGCTCGCCGGGGGCAAAATCCCGTCGGTTGATGCGGGAGGAGAGCAGAGGGAAAACGCTGCCCGGGATGGGGATGGGGACGGGGACGGCACGGTGGGTTTGCGACAGAGGAGGGTGTTTGGCGAGGCGGCGAGGAGGGACGGTGGGGACGGACAAACGAGCATCCCTGGGACATGGCACATGCCTCCGCGGGGGGATCGACGTCTGCCAAGGGGTGAGGAGGAGGAGGAGGAAGGAGAGGAGATGGTTTCTGAGCTGGAGACTTGCAGAAGAGAGGGGATGGCCAGGGTGGGAGGTGAGCTGGAAAGCAAGCCAGGAAGCAAACTGGAAAGTAAGTCAGGAATCGAGCCGGGAAGGGACCTGGGAAGTGAGCCGGGAAGTGATCTGAGCTTTTATGACCCTGGGGACACCAAACAGCCGTGGGGAGGAGGGCACACTTGCCCCAAGCACTGGGCTTTCCCCCAGGGTTGCTAATGCCCAGGTGGCAGGTGATGGATGTGCCCAAAGCACAGAGCAGGATTTGGCCGTCGGAGGCACGAGCCTGGAGGCTGAGGGGTGCGGGCGGACAATCCAGACCCTCACTGTCACCTCAAACCTGGGTGTAACAATGACAGCGAGCAACGCGGGGTCGGATGACTCCTACTCTTTCTCCTCGGTCGCAAAGATCCAGGTGGAGGAGAACTACATCACCAAGCGGCGGGTGCAGGACGGGGCTGGCGAGACGGGGCCCCGG